GGTCACCATGACAGCGCGCCTCTCCGGAGAGCGTGCTCAGCTGATGCTGAACTGTCTGAGAGAGCTCGACAGCAAAATAGTGGCCCCACTGAAATACTTTCAGAGGCTCCTGGGGCATATGGCATCCGCAGTCGCTGTCATGCCGCTCTGATTACTTCATATGAGACCACTCCAGCACTTGCTTCACGATCGAGTCCCCATACGCGCATGGCACACGCGCGCACTTCGAGTCACTGTTACTGCGATGTGTCGACATGTCCTCAGCCTTTGAAATGACCCTCGTTCCTACAGGCCGGAGTTCCTCTAGGACAGACGTCCAGTCATGTTGTGGTCTCAACAAATGCTTCCAGCATGGGCTGGGGGGCTGTGTGCTGCGGTCATGCAGCTGCAGCCCTGTGGAAAGAAACCCAGTTGCATTGGCATATCAATCGCCTGGAGCTGTTGGCAGTGTTCCTCGGTCTCCACCATTTTTTTCCGGTGCTGGAGCAGCAGCACGTGCTGGTCAGGACGGACAGCACGGCGGCGGTGGTGTATATCAACCGCATGGAGGGTATTTGCTCGAGCCGCATGCCTCAGCTCGCCGCCGTCTGCTCCTCTGGCGTCATCCGCGGCTGAAATTGCTGCGCGCCGTTCACATTTCAGGCAAGCTCAACCATGCAGCCGATGCGCACTCACGGCAGCCTTTACGTCCTGGAGAATGGAGACTCCACCAGATCGATCTGTTTGCTTCCCCCGAGATCGCTCATTGCCAGTTGTTCTTTTCCCTGACCGAGGGCTCTCTCGACACCGATGCACTGGGTCGGGGACCTGGAGGCATTTTTCGGTCAGTGACTCGTGCCTGTAATTTGGGCTGGCTTACTCTCATGTTCCTGAGACCCCATCCGGGATATGTGCCCAAGGTTCCTACCACACCATTTTAAGACCAGGTAGTGAGCCTGCAAGCGCTGTCCCCAGAGGAGGCAGACCCAGCCCTTTTCTTACTTTTTCCAGTTCGCGAATTTATCTGGACCGCACTCAGAGCTTTAGATCATCTGAGCAGCTCTTCGTCTGTTATGGCGGTCAGCAGCAGGGAAGTGCCGTATCGAAACAGAGGTTGGCCCACTGGATAGTGGATGCCATCTCCCTCGCTTATTTGAGCCAGGGCGAGCCGTGTCCCCCGAGAGTGCGTGCGCACTCCACTACGGAGCATCGCATCCTCTTGGGCGCGTACACGCGGTGCCTCTCTAACAGACATCTGTAGAGCTGTGGGCTGGGCGACACCTAATACATTTGCAAGGTTTTACAATCTGCGAGTGGAGCCGGTTTCTTCAAGGGTATTAGGTAACCCTTGGTGATTGAGGAAAAAACTCGGTTAAGGTGTTGAAACACACTTGCTGCGCCATTCTCCCCAACATGGAGATACGTGCACTTTTTTATCTGTCAGTAAAGTTCCCCGTTAGGTGAGCCCTACAGATTCCTCCGAGGCCCCCAGCACTGACTCAGCGGAGGAGTCACTTGCTGGCCCACTACGTTGTAGGTCTGCCCGCTGGTCAGCCCACGTTTTGGGTATAGGTGCCCACTATGCGTGATCCCCACAAGGCGATTCCATATGCTTATTCAGCCACGGTGCAGTCCCCCCTCATGGGCGGACTCGTGTCTTCCCTCTCCGCTAACCATCTTATTATATGCGTACTCCCCCTTCTCAGGGCTAGTCTATATATTTTTTCCATCATATCTCCCCATTGGGTAGCAGGTGGCCTCCGCAGCGTCCTCTCTATCGGGACTGCATGCTTTCCCAACGTAATGTCGTATTTTTCTAGAATTATCTAGACGCTTGCGACTGCCAAAAAATATATCTAAATCCGTAAAACTTCTTTCGAAGTGGGATAAGGGCCAGGGATCACGTTGGAAGACTGCACCTCTCTTTGATGCAGGAGCGCTTACGCTAACGCTACTACCTGGCTATCCTCTCATCGAAGGCGAAGGTAAGGTGCAGTCATTATGGCGTTTTCCAGACATTTCCCCATTCGTGGATTAATAAATAAATCCACTGATAGCGTTGAAGTTCCCCATCCGAAGGGGAACGCTCTGGTTACCAAAGTAACCCTTGGAAATGCTATATAGCATCGCCATAATGACTGTTCCTTAGCTGTAAGTGTTAGTCTCTTCAGCTTTCCCTGTGCTTATATGCGGAGCTAATTGGCAATAAGCTCCAGGAGTACAAGCTTGCGCTGCCAAATCATTTGGCATTTCATTGGCCCGTTATATACTCATTCAGACGATTGGCTTTCTGAAACGAAATCCTTATTCGTGGATTAATTAATAAATACACTGATAGCAATTCCGTTCCTCTCCTCGGGGAATGAGGGTTACTTTAGTAACCAGAGCGTTCTCAACAAGTAATGTTATTCGTAATAATACAGTCACTTACTCCATTCACAATAAGGAAAGTAGCATCAACTCACGTTAAATACTGGGCTTATTCTGGTTTTGAACGAATAAAAGCATCAATAAATGTATTATTGTCAGCCAAGTGAATGAGTCGTTCATAACGAAGATTTATTCACAAACGAATCATTCCCTCCATTAGAATTTGAAGTTGAAGCAGGAGAGGGGGTGTTTTTTGAGGACATGCATTAGATCAAATTAAACAGGGAGGGAGGATGATACATTTCTATGCACACAAACACACACTCTTTGTCAGCAATGTCCGTGCAGTCACTTATCCAGTTATGTAGAAAAGTTATGTAAGATTGTAATTATATTTTTGCAATTAAAAATAAATATTTGCGCTCTGTCCACCGGCAAAACTCCCAATTATAGATATATGTGTGTATATCTCTGGCCACAGTCCTCCACTGCACCATAGTGCCGCATTTATTTAAAAGCAGCACACCTTGTACTAAAATGGCAGCTCTATTAATGCATTCCTTCCAATAGACAACAGCAGGGTAGGCGACATCCAATGTAAATATCTATGATGTAGACAAGGTCCAGAAAAAAAATATGAGCACCTAAACATATACTTGTCCTTTCAGTAAAGACTTCCCTAGATGGTCACAGGTGCACAGAGATAGGAAAAAGAAAATATGTATAAAAGCAGGACCATGTACACATACAATTCAGATGGTCTAAGGGAGACTTTTTCTGTTTTCAGAAAAAGGGCTGTTTTCAAACATCTCGCTTGCTGGATCCATGTGTAGCTAAGTCTTCTGTAATACAGCGGTCAAGGACAACAGAGTTGAGGATCCAAATGCAGATTATTAACAGAGTCATCATGCAGGCAAAAGGTCAAAATAAGAACAGACAGGAGCATGCAGATAATCCAAACGAGAAGTCAGAGTACAGCGAATATTCAGGCGACAAAATACTGTAAAAAGTAAAACAAAGCAAAGGTCAAAACAAGAAAAGGTAAGACATGAAAATGCTTAGAAATGCTCACTCACAGTTTACAAGATTTAACAAAGAGTTTCTGTGAATGAAGTGTCTTTATATTCCTAGTTTCTGTGTGTGTGTGTGTGTGTGTAACCCGGGGGCAATCGTGACAATAACAATGAATAATCATCAATCATATTATCATAATTATCATATCAATATATGATTATCATAATCATATAAATTTATATTTATGATTTATTAAATTTATATTAATATTTATGATTAAAAAAGTAATTGTTGCTCACCACAGCACTATATATATATATATATATATATATATATATATATATATATATATATATATATATATATATATATATATATACATACACGATTTTTTTATATACACTATATTATACATTCAACTTCAAATCAGAAAAAAGTTGGGACAGTATGGAAAACAAATAATAAAAAAAGTGATGATTTCTAAATATATTTTGACTTGAATTTCATTGTATTTTAGACAATACAACAAACACTATTTATTGTGTTCCTTATTATTTTTATAATTCTTTCACATTTTTGTTGGTTAACTGGCGTTTCCTTGGTCCATCTTTGCTCCTAAAGAACTAGACTTTTCTTAGCTGCTGCTTTTGGTACCAAATCCTCATCACCATCCCCTGTTGACATTACCTGTTTCAAATCACATCATTTACCCAGTTCACCTGATTACTAGCCCCAAATTTCTCTTGTGCCAACCTTTTTGAAATGTGTTGCAGGTCTAAATGAGAGAACAACATATCCAGCATTTGTTTTACACAGTGGATGCACTTCCAGCTGCAACCAAGTACTGGGAAACACCCATACACTCTCACATTTACTATGGCTAATTTTGTTTATTTAATTCACCCATAGCATAGATTTAATTGTGTTAATACTTACAGTTCCATATATTAGCAAACCACATTTTGGTATCAATTTAATTTAGTTTCTTTGCATCTCTGTAAAATGCCCTTGTTCTACTCACCCATGTCATTTCACTTTAAATCACTTGCTTTCTTCAAAGCAAGACAAAGGCAATCAATAAGTCATTCTTTTCTGAAAGATGAAGATGATAACTCAGATCTTTGTTGTACTAAGGTGATGAATGTCATCAACTTTACTGCCTCAGTAATTCAATTGCCTTTCATCTCCAACCTGCATGCCAATGCATAAAAAACACCCTCAGATACCTAATTGATTTTATTGACAGCAGTCATTTTAAATTTGTAGTGTCATAAACCATACTAATTCACAGTAAACAATTCAGTGTAAGTAAATTTTACTATAGCATTTTAGAAAAAAATAAATAAATAAAAAACAGACTTGCAGGTAGAGTAGCACTTTAAGATGCCAGTTAATTATGTTCTGATGTACTTTCTATAGTAATAATGAAAAATACTGCATAATTACATGTAACTAACCATAAACCTAACCTTAAGTGTAAGTAGATTAAATAAATTAAAATTACTCAGAAGATAAATGTAGTTACAAGAAACAAAAAAATAAGGTTTACATCAAAAGACAATAGAGCTCCCCATCATTGAATTTGTATAGTAGCTGCTGTACATTTACAGAAAAAACAAACAAACAAAAACCTTTACCTCTGAGATATTTATTCAGCAAACAGACGGTCAAGATGCCAGGAACTAGAGGTGAACTCATGCGTCTCCACAAGTGACTTAACAAATCTTAACTGCAGGATTTTTCCAACTTTCCAGTGCCTTGATTCACGACAGAGCCAAAAGAGACTGACCAGATATCCCAGTTTAGGCAAAACATATTACTTTTCCTCTCACTCTGTCTATGTATCCGGAGGGGTCCTCTGTTATTCCTGTCGCTGGTATTGAGCTGCAGATAATAAACTTCGAACTGTTTTGTGATAGGATGATTACTTTACCACTCTGAGAGCCCGAGGCCACAATACAGGAGTCAATTCTTGTGCTCCACTTTTTCGTGGGTAATATCCCCCTAGACGAGTTCTCTATTTTACCATTAAATGAGGTGGATTGTATTTAAAAATGAAGCTGACACAGTGCATACGTTGCAGGCAGCAGGTCATCTCCCAAATATTACCCCTGTGGCATGACTTTATCAGTTAAGGATTCTCATTTATGACTCAAACATTTACTTGTTCATTAATTATGTTTCAAATCCTATATTTGAAATGCTTGCTTATTTAGAAAATAGTAACATTAAAGGGCATGTCAATCAGAAATCCAGTTCTATCTTTAATGGGGGGCAAATATCATGTGCTCTCCAACAGAAATGAAATTTGTTGACAGGGCATAGTCGCTTCCAGGACCTGATTGGGCCAAAGCGGGGCTTTCTCTGGGCCAGCGGCTGGCCTTTTTCAGCCCACTGAATACCTACCAGCTTGGGCTTTGGGGCGGAGTGAAAGCAGAGGTGGAGTTTTGTGCCGATGTCATTATACTAGTTTTCCCACCACGCATAAGTACATGTGGCAAAAATAAAAAATAAAAAATAATAATAAAAAAGAAATAAGGGAAAGAAACAACATATCTGTCAGTTTAAGATATTGCATAAAACATCTTATAGGCTTGGAGTATTTTGCTTAAGATCGCTCTTATGTTTTTCTTTTAAATTTAAGGCTGTTGCATAAAATAAAAAAGTAGTTTAAATTTAATAAGTGATATTTCTTTGCTGTGTCCTTTTTGATGTTTAAATAACGCAAGTTACGCAGTAACTTTCAGTTGTAGAAAGTTTTTATCATGTTTAAAAGGTGTGTTTTTGCATGAAACATGTGCATTTTGATGCATATGTGTGTGAGAGAAACCGGATGAAAGGGCATGTGTTATGTACAAATATGAAATAGTATCCCAGTGACAGCTGTTGTACCTTTATTTTTGCTAGTTAACTGTTCATTTTGTCTTTTGACTTTTTTGAGTGTGTTTGCAGCCAGATAGCTGGACAGAGGAACTATTGCATCTATTACTTCGATTGCAAATCCTGGTTTTACCAAAAGATTATAATAATTCATTTTCCTTCGTCGGCTTAGTCCCTGATTATCAGGGATTGCCATTGCAGAATGAACTGCCAACTATTTTGTAATGTTTTACACGGCGGATGCCCTTCCTGCCACAGCCCAGCACTGGGAAATACCCATACATTCTCACATTTACACACACACACACACATACACACACATTCATAAGCTATGGACATTTTAGTTTATCCAACTCACCTATACGCATGTCTTTGGCCTGAAGGGGAAACCTACGCCAACACGGGGAGAACATGCAGACTCCACACAGAAATGCCTAATGAAATATGTTTCAATAAGTACCATAATTAATGTGGATATCACTTTCACTTTAGAATAGGGGTTCAAATTGCCTTTACTAGTAGTGTATTAATGGCATTTTAGACTTAATTATTAGCTTGTTCCAGTAGACTTGAATATCCCCCATTAAGTGCCAAAATTAATGTGGACAACTTTCACTTTAGAAAAAAGAGGTCAAATTGCCTTTATTAGTACTGTATTAATAATATTTTACGGTAACACTTTTTAATAACTACACACTATAAATCATTTATTAGGCATTAGCATCTAGTGAATTCATTGTTTGTTAAGCATTAACTCTACATAAATAAAACGTTAGTAGGTAGCTACAAATGCTGTAATCTTGACTCAAGATCCTTCTGCATGAGTTTGTAAATGATTAATAAACTGTTGAAATTAACAATTACATACCTTATTATTCAGGCATATAGTGATGGTTATTATATATATATATATATATATATATATATATATATATATATATATATATATATATATATATTTAATTGCTTTATTATATTATGCTTAGGATCAAATGAACAATAATCTTTGCAATATTATCCAAAAGGTAAAATTACTGTAAAGTATAAACATTGCTGAATAACAGGAGTGTCAAAATATAACATAAAATTGGATAAAACAACAATATTATAATTTAACAATATAATAGAATGCAATGTGCAAACTGCACAGTAATTTTATATAAGGGGCGAGGCAGTGGCGCAGTTGGTAGTGCTGTCACCTCGCAGCAAGAAGGTTGCTGGGTTGCTGGTTCGAACCTCGGCTCAGTTGGTGTTTCTGTGTGGAGTTTGCATGTTCTCCCTGCCTTTACGTGGGTTTCCTCCGGGTGCTCCGGGCTCCCCCACAGTCCTAAGACATAGGGTACAGGTGAATTGGGTAGGCTAAACTGTCCGTAGTGTATGAGTGTGTGTGAATGTGTGTGTGGATGTTTCCCAGAGATGCGTTGCGGCTGGATGGGCATACGTTGAGTAAAAACTTGCTGGATAAGTTGGCGGCTCATTCCGCTGTGGCAACCTCGGATTAATAAAGGGATTAAGCCGGCAAGAAAATGAATGAATGAATGAATTTTATATAAGATTGCAAAAATTCATTTTTATTTGATCCAGTTTCATTTGTGGATTTTCAAACTAATAGGAATAATGTAGTTTGTTCTTTTTTTCCTGTATTAAACTGAGCCTTTAATAGTCATTTACAGTATAAGGGATTTATAAAGCACAAATAGTCCTCATTTTAGATTAGGTCACAAAACTGGATGGAGTTGAGTTAATAAAGCATTTATTAACATACAACTTAATTATTAGTAAATGCCTGAATAATAAGAATAATAAATGTTAATTTGTATAGTTTATTAATCATTTTCTAACTCGTTCTGAAGGATCTTTAAAAACATCCAACTATTCTTAAATAACTGTTTTATATAGAATGCAATCCTTAATTTAGTAATGAAAAATGAATCATTACCATGCATTTTTAAGCACATTATAAATTTGTAGCTGCAGTTATAAACTGCTTATTAATGTTTATTAATGTAGGGTTAATGCTTAACAGATAATAAATTCACTATTTGCAAATGCTTAATAAATAGTTCATGGTGTGTAGTTAATATAAAGTGTTACCATTTTCTAATGCCCTGTACACATTTTTTCACATAGGTGTTCCTTGGGGTCAGTTTGACCCCAGGGTCTTTTAGCTGTATAAAATATAAGAAAAATGAAAAAATTGCACATATTTGTTTTGGGTGATATTAAGGTCTGTTACAACCATGGTCATAACATCAACTAGGGGAAAACACAAATTGATCAGTCTAGGGGATTTATTAAGATAAACTAACAAAATAATTAAAGTATGGGGAGGAAACACAACAGAACAAAGACTAAACACAGAATGGAGCACAACTCAGCGTCTGGACAGCTGCTCAGTTCCCCATCACTGCAACAAAATGCTAATGAATGACAGGATGCTTGGGAACGTTTTTTTTTTTTTTTTTTATCAAGGGCCATTTACATTTTTGTAACATCGTTTAGGGGCCATACTAAATTATTTAACATACTGTATACATCACTAAGCTCTCCTATGCGATGGTTGGAACTGCTTCTCTTTGGCAAGGCGTCTAATACCAGATGTCACTGAAGATGATGCTACTCTCAGCTGGTTTTCCAAGTTTTGGTTAGTCAGTCTTGAGCAGAAATGAATCTTTGCAAGAGTCAGTATTAAAAAAAAATCCTCACAGCAATAGGTTCCCAAACAGAGCGGAAAACTTCAGTGCATGTCTCCTCAGAAAGTACATACAGTTTGTAGAACTCAAGCAGGGGAGGTTGTTGTACTTTGCTTTGAGCTCATCATTGCTTCGCAGCTCAATTATTTTGTGTTGTAGGTTGTCAGGTATTTCAGATAGTTCCACATTAAATGGCGTAGCAAATATATTCTGTTAATTTTGTTTGCATGTCTTGAAATCCCTCATCAAATGCATAAAGCAGTTTTGCACACTCACTGGCATACTCCACTGTGTTAGCAGGCTTGTGTTCTTGTAGAGTAGGAAAATGCAAAGTGTTTCCCTTTTCCAGTTGCAATATCCACAAATTTGATTTCGCCTCAAATGATTTCACATTTGAAAAAAAGAGAGCTGAGAAGCTGGTTTGGACCTTGGAGATTGACATTCAGCTCTGACAGTTGCTTGGTTATATCTACCATAAATGCCAAATCACATGACAAATGCCGCTTGTCATTACAGAGTTCCACCACAGGTCTTACCTTAATCTCCATGAATTGTTTTACTTCTCTCAAATTGTAAAACCACTTCAGCATATCTAAACAACTCAACCATTGCACCTCACAATGGTAAACCAAATCTCCATACACAGACATCATCCAGGGACTCTTTAAACTGATGGCTATTTATCCCTCTGCTTTTGCTTAAATTTATCATGCTAGTTGTTATTACACTGTGCAGCGTCAGGGAATGTGCACACAGACTTTCTTGATGAATAATACAGTGGCAAACAACTAAAGCACTTGGATCAAGACTGAGACTACTCATTTCTTTTTTGACCAAAAAGAAAAAAAAAATTACTTTATCTGTCACGATCAGCTCCGCAGTGGCAACAAGGCACTCTTTCTCAAACTCTCCTTCTGAATGAGGTCTGAGTTTTTTAGCTATTAGCTCACTTACTGCAAAACTTGTATGCTACATTTTCTCTATCAGACTGTGGTTTTGTGAAAGCTTCCATTTTGGGCACCCAAACTTGGTCGAAGAGTGTTTACTTTATCCAAGTGCATTTGTCCTTGCAGCTCATTGAGTTTAGCATGCTTTGAGTTGTAATGACCCTCGAGATTGTCTTTTTTCATCACTACAAGCGCATCCCCACAGACTGAGCATACCAGCTTGCCTTTGACTTCAACAAAACCATAATTGTTGGTCCATTTTTCTTAAAAAGCACGACATTCTGCATCGAGTTTTCTGTTCTTGCCTGTTGCCATTGTAAGAATCAGCTCTTTGGTTTAAATCATGTTT